TATGAGACTGTGGTACTTACCGGATTGGAGACTTGGAGATTGTTGGGGTTGATACTTGGCGACATCACCGTTCGGACACCGGTTACATTTGGACTCTGTATCTCCGACATTGGTGATCTATGGCCATCGACATTTTGATCTTGTGGGATGACATTTCGGACTACCATATCGGTGGCCTATCAGATTTCTATTCCGGTGATTTTCAGTGCTGTCTAACCGCCCCACCTCCTTCGTCTCTCCTCCCCCATTCATCTGTGTATATTGTGTACGGGGCTGAGCATCCTCTCTGTATGGCTCAGACCCCACCATCTCACGATTGTATGTGTGTGGAGTGATGCTATGTGAGTCAGTCCGTTTATCAGACTTCCGTTGCATCTATACTCATCCTACATTGGTTGATTCTTGGTTCTGCCCATACTCATTGGAGTATGCAACACGGTCTAACCGCGAACTTCTGAAACGCCAAGCTGAGAAACAGGACAGAAACATGCATCCAAAGTTTGAGTCAAGACTAGGCATGAGAAATAGGGTTGTAGGATGGGATAGAACCAGATGAGGAAAGTCCTTTGGAATGAAGACCCCTACAGAGTCAAAGGATGGGATAGAACCAGATGAGGAAAGTCCAAGGGTCCTACTGTCTTCACTCGAATAGAACGGCCGGTCATTACAGCCGTATCTGGGGCAGTTTTCTGTCTAGATGCAGCGATAATGACCGGGCGTTCTATTTGGGTGAAGACGGTAGTTATTGACCTAGCAAAGTTCAGGGGTCAACTGTTGGTCCTACAGACTCTCCTAATATTTGTTTCGAACTCTGCGGCGAGCCTCCAGAGGCTTCTCTAGAACTGATATGAAATCCGTACAGACATGACTAGGGGTCGTAACCTGTGGTCACGTCGAAGTTGTAGCATCAAAAAGTCACTTCTCTGACTCTGAAGAGGCATCAGAATGTCCTTTGGTGAATAGGTACGGGGTAAAGACTCGAAATGAGGCACCTCATGCCCTAGGAAAGTCATCAGTCTTCCCGGGCACAGAAATCAAGGAGTTAAATATTTCTCAGGAGTCAACCATGGTCTCAATTCTCACACAAATCCAAAGGCTCACTGCAGTTTCCAGAAGTCTCCAAGGCCCACTGGGTAGGCACACGCTGGCCGCAAGCGAATCTGGCCCCCGACAGATCGGGAAATCTCAGCCCTTTGAGGAGGAAAACTGGAGGCAGGGCAGACCAAGCAAACACTATAAGAGAGTGGTCTGCCCCAACTCATGGATTCGTTCTGCCTTGCGCTGCTACAGTGCACTCGCTACAGTATGTGGCTACAGTGCACAGGTACATTGACGTGCTACAGTGATGCGCTACAGTCACACACTACAGTGCGTTGCTGCAGTGAGTGCTAGAGAAGGCAGACGGAGAGAGTGAGAGGCTGCCATGGCGAGAAGTGAGAGAGAGCGGTAGCCATAGCCTGTAGTAGGTACAGAGGGGAGATCTGAGGTAGAGTCCAAGGTTTTGGGGGGAAGGGGAAGGGGAAGCTTACGTGGAGAGTGTGTCGATTAGGAGTGTTCAGCCAAAGCTGCTGCAGAGAAGACCAGTGGTTGCATGTGCTCCACATTCTTCATCCACGACTCGAAGTGGTGTTGTGGACTACATAGCTTTTCTGACACCATAAAGAGGAGGGTCAGGTGTGGCGATAGGAAGGCGGAGATGAGCATTGCACAAGGATTGACAAGAATGTGTAGGAAGCATACCTGTTGACTGGCCGCCATAGCTACCTGAGGAAGAAGACTCCAAGAGGAGGGAGAGCAGCGTTCCTCATCCAGTGCTTCGTCCTGTGCTCTGCATTGCGTGTGGCACTTATGCTAGTGAGCTTGGGGGATGAGAGGGAAAGTGGCCATACCTTCCTGGAGGCAATGCGGTCGTGATTTAGATGAAGAAGACTCCATGCTGCCGCAAAAGATTCACATTGTCATTTCGAGTTCCAGCTTCATTGTGCTGGCCTGGGATAGCCAGTGATGTAGAGAGGTTGACTTGTCGCAGGTGACATTGTGTCCAGATGTGGTGGTGGAGTCGTCGGGACATTCAAGCCATGGGTGCATTGAGGCGGTGAGCAGTATTCCGTTGGGAGAAGAGAGAGGAGCAGTATGAACATTATATTAATAGTTTATACACCTTGAGATAATCCCATGGTTTGATCTTCATGGTCGTATCTTTCTATCCTGTCTCACTTTGGTTGTTATCGTTGAGTTGAGCAGTGTTTGTTCATGAGAGATTTGATTGTAAGTTCTGAAGTTGGGTTCATTAGGAAAAGGGAAAAATAAGGAAAAATGATCAGAAAGAACGACGCACAGGAGAAGGCGGACAATAGCTTTAGTGTGCTTCATGTTGGCTGCCATTTTTCGTATGCTTTCCAAACTGCACTTGTGGCATACTGATACCACACGGGGTCCAGTTAGGGCCCGGTTCTGTAGTAGGCACGGTTTAGGCCTAGGTACCGGGTCACGACGGTCCCAGCTAGGTCCAGGTAGGCCTAGGAACCGTCTGTTCAGTTTAGGGTCCGGTAAGCCTCGTTTAGACCCCACCAGACCCAACGGCTAGTTGTTTAGGCCAGGTACCGGTCAATCGGTAGGCCCACCCGGTGGCACAGTTTTGGGCGCCACTTTTCAGATTCAATCGGATCTGAACCGTTGGGCCCGATCAACTGTCCAGACCCGAAGGCACTCAGTAGGACTGAGGCCGACCCAGCACTATATCAGCTGGGTACCAGCCTCAGTCAGTAGGTTAGTAGACAGGAGGTTAGTCTTCAGGATTAGCGCAGCGTTGCAGCGTTAGCAGCATTAGCGCAGCGCCCCAGCGTTAGCATGAGCAGCGAGGAGAGAAGGAGCCCAGCGGCGAGGAAGAACTAGCGCAGCAGTGGAGCAGAGCCAGCCACCGGCCCAGCCCGCGGCCCAGTGCCAGCCCTTGCAGCGCCACAGCCACCACTTCAGGTACCAGGGAGAAAAGCCTTGCCTTTTCTCCCTCTTCTCCCTCTGTCTCTCTCTCTCTCTCTCTCTCTCTCTCTCTCTCTCTCTCCCTCTCTCTCTCTCTCTCTCTCTCTCTCTCTCCCCTCCTACCCTCCAGGTCTAAGTCTACTCTACTGGAACACTCCGAGTACGTAGGATGGTGACGAGTTCTGATGACAGTTGAGATAGTAGCATTGAGACATTGGTTGAGGGCTACTTCTGGGATCCAACTTCATCTACTGCAAGGGATGTATCTTGATATTGGGAGATCAACATCTGGGACACTGTGAGACTTTGTATTCACGACATTTCGGATTTGTGTTACTTACTTTCGAGATACTATATCTGGATCCAGGGTGCTGACATCAACTTCCCTCTCCTTCTCCTTCTCGTCTCCCCTCTCCCCCCATTCGTCCGTGTATGATCTTAGACCCTGGCCTTCTCTTGTGTGTCCAAGGCCAGGGCTTTCACACCATGGATGCATGCTGAGAGTGTTTCGTTGCAGTCTGAGTCAGGTCAGAGTCGGTCCATGTGTATCAAGTCTTCCGCTGTATCTGTATATGTATTAACTCTGTATTATCTGGTTGGTTCTGGGAATCTGTGCAATACTTATGACTGTGTCTCACGAGTATGCAACAACACTCCTTTAGTTGATCGACATGTGGAGGAAAGCTGTTTCAACCTTGGTTCGACTTATGTTGGCAGCCCTACACCTGCCCAAGTATGGGGGATGGCAGGCCTCAAGTCCCAGCTTTTTTTGTCCTTTTTGCTCCAAGCTTCCATCCGATGAAGAGTTCACAGCACAGGTTTCACGGAGTTCAGAAGCAGTGTCTGCACCGTGCATGTGAAGGGTGGAGGCTGGGCAGTCAGATGGAGTTACCTGCACCAGATGTGAAGTCCTCTCGTCTTTTGATTGGAGGTCATGGCTATCTAGCATCTGCTGAGGACCACAGGGAAACGTAGACTTCTGTTCCACCGAGAGATGGATCAATTGTCCTTGCTGCTGTGCCTCTGTCGAGGCTGGTTTGCTAGCCACTTCACCTCTGTTCAGTGTTCGGATTGGCGCGGTTGCTTCACGCCACATTGCACTTTCACTGTGCCTCTGTGGAGGCTGGTTTGCTAGCCACTTGTTCAGTGTTCGGATTGACGCGGTCGCTTCACGTCACATTGCGTACTTTCACTCTCAAGGCAGCCGGACTTGGTTTCTTCCCCCTCTGTACGACGTATAGCTTGGATATTCACTTAGATAAAAAAAAAAAAGAGAACAAAGAAAATAGATCTTGGACATTCCCTCTATTCTATCCCTTGCCCTTCTAGCTGGTCTTTTTCTTTTTCTTTCCCCGTCATCTCTTATGTATCTCCGCCTCCCTGCATGTGTTAGGAAGTGAACCGTACTACCTTGTGTTCAATCTGCACTCCAAGGGGTGTCTACCATTCGATGTATGAGGTAAGTCATTGTTCATCAGAAATATTATAATCTGAATGCATGTAAGTCCATATGGGGGCAATGAGAGTAGGAAAATGGCCCTCGTTCCACATATAAGTCCTTTACTATTGATGTCCAAAGAATCACTTTGAAAGTAATTGTAGGATCTATTTTCCGTATGCAATGATCCTGTTGAACAGTTGCTTAATCACTTTCACGACTTCAATTTGCCTCGAGTAAAGAGAATGAGATGTAACGCAAAGACTGTCAATCGATGCTGATTGTCGTCCAGTATCTCTCTGGAGCCTTGGTGTTGTCCAGCATTTTCTCTCTCGATGCACCACCTCACATCTCTCTCTGTGCCACGCAGATCTCTCTGCCCGGACGACTCGGAGCCACTACCATTATTTTTCTCGATTTATGTGTGTCAGTGCAGCAGCCATGCTAATCTTCTTTGTATCATCGTAATTTTAAAGCATGTCCCAGAGAACACTCTTAAGAGTCTTAATTGTTTTCATAGTTTCCTTATCTGGTCCTTCCTTTTTCCCAATTTTTTTTCTTGGGTGACTGTTTTTGCATGCAGGGTGTTCGGCGAAGTGCAATGAGGTGCTTCGAGAACTTGCAGGCTTTACAAGAAAAGCTTCCGATGGCCTCCGATGGAAACCGCGTGACTGGTAAGTCGTTCCTCATTCTTATTTTTGTCAGTATTTTACTACTTTAGCTATTTTAGTATTGTTACTGTTTTAGTGCTAGGAAGATTTTCATGACCGGCCGGTCACCCGGGCGTGACACCCGGGATACCCAGGCATGGGATTTTTTTTTTTTTTAAATGGCGGTGGGGTTTTTCCGTGCTCTCTGAGAGGAGCCCAAATTTGGGCTCTTTTCTTTTCTTGAGTGTTGGCTGTCAAGGGGGGAAAGGGGAATATAAATGAATTTTAAAGGGGCTAAAGGGGCTAAAGGGGTTGAAAGGGGGGTGCCTTAGTGTGATTTGGTTACTTTCTTTTTTATCTTCAGTTCCGGGAGGAATTCTGATGTGACCCTCACCCAAAAGTTGTTTGTATTGCAATTCTACACAACATTATTTTTCAGTTTTTCTTGATTATCTTGATTTTTTTTTTTTTTTTTTTTTTTGCCCTTGGGTTGCCCGTGCCCATGCCTGGGGGTCATGCCCGGCCGGTCACCCGGTCGCCAAACCAGGCGTGACGTTGGAACCCGGGCGCTGGGGATATCTCCCTAGTTTTAGTATGGTTTTTTTTTGTTTTTTTTTTGTTCTCTTTATGTCCAGTTCTAGTCAGTCTCCACCAATTTTATTCGTATTTTATTTTCTTATTTACATTTAAGTAGGCTTTACAAGGCTCTTACTGAGTTAATCGAGATTTCTCTTAACCTATGTCCGAAAGAACTTTTCTGATGTACCCTTACGCCACCACCAGTCACCTATAATTTATTTAATCCCAGTGATGTTGTGGCATGCACGGGACCTTGGCTACTGGTCCCTAATACTGTGAGACCCATGGTTGCATCCCTGCGGACCGCCGACCGTATTGCAGCCGACCAGTAGGGCCGACCGGCCTGCGGTCTGCCAACCAGTCAGAAAGCAACCATCCACTATTTTTTTTTCAGATCTGAGTTTAAAGCTGTACTGCGTTTGCTGAGTACAGCCCAAATCCGCTGAGAAATTTTTGGGGATGGGGGTTTGGGGGAGGGGGTACTGGGGGGGGATATGAGGGTGTTGGGGGGCGGTTTGTGGGTGTTGGGGGGTGTATGGGGGTATTTGGGGTTGGTATGGGGGTGCTCGTGGGGTTATTATAATTTTTTTTATTTTTTTTTTGCGGGGTGCCGACGACCCCCAACCAATAGGTGCCGACCAGTCAAGGGTCGCCGACGTTCGGGGTGTGCAACACTGTTGCGACCCACATTTCGAGGGCCTTCGGGCCATGGATCATTGTTGGGGCTCCTTTTGTTGTCAGGCAGAGCCTGCCGCAGAGGGTTATTTTTGTCTGTTTTGTATTGGGTGTTTGGGTTCTACGTGCTTCAGCTATTTGTCTATTTCAGATTCTATCTGGCCTCCGACAGTGTCTTCTCAAATGTCTAAGTCTGAGCAAGCACAAGTTCCTGTTTGGACCACTGGGTGACTGGTTTGCACATTTTTAGCTACTTGGGGCCTCAGAGACTTTGGTTGAGACAAACGTCCCATGGAGGAGCATTGGGGTGAACTTGACTCCTAGACCGGGAGCCTCCACGGCGTCGACCGGTCGCGTTACCTTTCTGAACAGAGGCAGCGACTGCTCCACCCCCTGAAGCCTCTACGCTGCCTGCCTCTGAACCTACTCCTTCTTGGAAGTCGTCGTCCAACTCGATGGTGGAACCATCGTTATCGACGAACATTATGCAACCCTTCGCCTTCCAGTTGGGAGGCAGTGGTTTCCTCCTACCATTCGTCGTGGGTTGATGTCCATGCCCTATCTTTGCTTCCAGGTCTAGGGCGTTCTTGCTAAACGAGGGAAAGTTGTGCACATTTGATCTTAGCCTCACCCGCCAACTGATTCCTGAGTGGCATGGGAAGACACCTCAGGTAAGTGGTCGGTCAGTAAGACTTCGGGGTCGTAACACACTCCAGGTACACAGATCAAATGCTCCACTGCGTCTGTGGCATCCCTTACTGACTTGAACGGTCTATTGCTCAAGCTCAGGATCGCATCAGTGGCCTTTTGGGCCTCCTGAGGATCATGCCACCTTTCCTCCACCAGCTTAAGGAAGTCCTCCAGTTTCTGGTTGACAGCCCAAGCGCGGAAGTCATGTCCGTACCCCTATAGTTGCATTAGACCACTTAACCATCTTGCTGCGCTCCCCTCAAGGTAGGAGGCAGCCACAAGCACTTCCTCGTGCGGCAAGGTCAGCTTACACTTAACGTAGACCGGCACTGACCTCAACCATGTGTCAAGGTCTTCGCCCCTCTTATCCCTGAGAAGGGTTTAGGTCAGTCGATGGCCGTCTTTGGAACCCACTGGCTTTGTCCCGGTACCTGCACCACTCCAGGCTGTGGACCTTGAGGCGCAGGCTGCTGCACTAGCTGCTGTTGGGGCTGTGTGCCCTGCGGCTGTGCTGGCTGCGAGACAGCAGGCTGCCCAGTTACGGCCGTCTGCAACCGAGGTTGGGAATACACTGTCTGTACAGGAATCTGTACACTAGGACCTGCTCCGATACTAAATTGCAAGGAAAATGAGCGATAACGAACTTCAGAAACCAAGCAGCATCATACACATGAGACCAGATAGTTGTGACCTCGAACGAAAAGCAGAATTGCAACTCGAGTGCCACCAAATTAGAGCACAACAAAAGCTCATAAGTGACAATGTTGGAATAGTTTCATCATCATCAACAAAGAACCAATGTCGACATCCTATCTGGCACTCTGCGCCCAGACTACAAATGGCAGATCCTATCTAGCCTATCTACAGTGCCGCTTGTGACGTCAACAGCTCCCCGAAGTACGAGCAGATCTCGGCCAATGCCGTTCGCCTCAAGCACAAGGTATGTCTCTCGTATCACTCACAATCTCGATCCCCCACTCACAGATGCCAAATGCACCCAAGGACCACCATGCGCCCCATCCAGCTCAACGCAGCGCAGCTCGGCTATGGCTGCCTGCTCTCCCTGCTCGCCCGTGAGCACGTGGGCCTGGCCAGTGATTAGTGCAGCATGCAGCCAGTGCCGGAATGCCAAATCTGGAGGCAGGCCCTTTCCTAAATGGAAGTGGCCTGCCTGCTGCGTGCGGCAAGGCTGCACTGGGCCCCGGTCCAGAAGCTTCCGGTAGGCGCCGAGAGGCTGAGCCGCATACCAAACGACACAGGCCCAGGGCCTGTGGTGGTTACCCGTGCCCAACTGCCCGCAGCCTGTGTTCGGTCCATGTTGCGTATCTGGCCCAGGGCCTGCCTCAGTTACATTCAATAGAGGCACCCTGGGCCTGGGCACTTTCAACCAACTTGCGCTGCGCAACTGCCTGAATTGCCTGAATTTTCCCAAGTTGCGTAGTAGTCCAAAATAGTCCTGGGTCGGGCCTGCCTTCACTTAGGGCGGCCGACCTTGCTGATAACAGGGCCCAGTAGGGCTTTCCGAAGCCTTGTGCCTCGCAAGTGCAACACCTGCGTAACTGATCTTTTTCAAGTACAGTCGTACAGATTTTACTTCCCGTTCAATTGGGCATCAGTCTTGACGTTTAGGTAGCGGCATTACCCACCCGCTAGTTTTTTTTTTTTTTTTTCCATCCCAGAAAATATCTTTAAAGGGGACACAGGCGACCATTGACCCAGCCACACGACCCCTTTTCTTTTTTGAGTGAATATTTTCCCCGTGCGCCGTACCGTGCGGGTCCCCTCGTGCGCCAAACGTGCAGAATTTTCCGCACGGCGTCCACTTGCATGTAGGGGAAGTACTTGTTATGAAATTGAATCTGGAAGAGACACTTCATTTCAATCGTTTCAATTGGTGTAACTCCCTCTGTTCAGGTTTATTTGTTTACGGTAGTATTTTAATTACTGACGCGATTATCGAGTAACTCCACATGTCGGAGTCTCCTCCACCTTCCCTTCCCAAACCCTTATTTTTATTTGAAGAGTCACTATTGGTCAGAACTGCAAGCTCTGGTTAACTTGTCCTGTCTATCAGTAATATTATTCATTAATGACTCGTGGCTTTCTGGAAGATGATGGATGGGTGACAGAGTGGGGTTCCCTGTTCTGATGGTCCTCCACTCCTAAGTCATGAATGGTAATGGTCTGGATGTGCAGGGGAGGAAGGTCCAATACTTATGAAACAGAAGGTTTTTGAACGGCTTCTGAAGGCGATCCTTGAGTTTAAGGCGCAATTCATCGCAGATCGAGCGTATCTGGAATTGTTTCTGCGGATGGCACTGGGTTCTGGTGATGGCAGCGTGCTTGCAGAGGGGGCGGAGGGGGGAGAAGGAGACGTGGCCGAATGGGGAAATCTTGACCGAAGGTGACGGGACAACATACCTGTATGCCTCATGTCTTTTTATTTTCTTTTTTTCTTTTTTTTTTCCTTCTTAAACTGGAATACAAAGAATAATTTGCAAAGGACTGGCCACTCAGATGATGCTCGGTCACTCTCCTACCAGCTGTCCCCTGGCCGGTGTCCCCCATTGGGGGTTCCCTGAAGGCAATAAGGCCACCCTGGGATAAAAAGGCCACCCGGTGTCAGATTAGACACGAGATTGAATTTACCTGGGCTGGTTAGTCCGATGATAATACCTCAAGGCCATCACCCTTCAAAAAAAAAAAAAAAATTGTGAAGGAGACTTGGCTGAAAAAAAAAAGAGAGAATGGGGAAAATGGGGAAATCTTGACAGAAGGTGATGGGAAAGGATATCTTTAGGCTGCAGGATTTTTTATTTTTTTTTTCCCAACCTGAACAGAAATAATATTTGTTGAAAATGGGTAACAAGAAAGGCTTCATTCAGGCATTTCACCGAGAACATACTTGCGGTGCGGTGCACGATGCGCCGTGCGCCCCTCGGCTGTGCGCGCATTCATGCATGATGCGCGCGCATCGTTGTGCAGTGCACGATGCGCGATTCTGCGCGGCACTCCAGTGCGCTGGGGCGTGCGCGTGCCGCGCGCATATTTGTGCGCAGTGTGGGCACGGGAATGCATGGCTTTTTTTTTTTCCCCCTCTCCGTAATACAGTAAGAGTCCATGATATATTAAATAATATCATAATATAATATGATATTATTTCACCAGCGACCGCCCGATGAACGTGCTCTCTCCAACAGAGAGCGAATCCGCGATTACAGCCTGATGGAAGATCGACCGACGAACAAAAAAGGAGATGGAAGATGGACCGAAGAGGGATGGTGGAAAGACGAGGGAGGGGGGAAGTGAAGAACCGAAACAAGCATGATGAGAAGGGAGAAGGGAGGGAGGGAATGGATGAGGGAGGAGCACACCGATGACAAGGGAGGAGCACACGGCAAACGGGGAGGGTATTCGCTGCCAATCGGACTTCGAAATAAAAAATGCAGAAAGAAGATGGAGGACGGATGAAGTAGGAGAGACGAGGGAGGAGGGATGAAGTAGGAGAGACGAGGGAGGAGGGATGAAGTAGGAGAGACGAGGGAGGAGGGACTAAGGAACT